ATTCGGAAGACGGGCCTGAAGGGCTGGTGGAGATCGTTTTAAGAGACTTTGATTCCGATGGACGGCACTGAAGGCCAGGACCAGCGCGGTACGGTACAAAACGACCTCTGGCCAAATGTCTGGCCCCTTTAGGCAACAATGATCGTGTGTCGTGTGGCGATCGGAAACAAACTGTCGGCCCCTCGTCGGCCCGGGGATCAATTTTCCAAGCAGGGAAAATGCAGCGACCCACGAATGGCAGCAAAAGGCATTGTTGCATTTGTCGACGATCCCTGTTATGATCCCCATGCTGGCCGCGACGACGGCCAGCGTGTCGGTCAGGGGATCAACCGTGTCTGACTGAAAACTGTAAGCTTTTCAGAAATCATATTTTGTGCTTTTTGGTTGAAAATGGATAGGAGGCTTTTTTACATATATTGTCTTTTTAACACAATAAATCTTTCACAGCTTGACCATTCTGCATCACTGCTGTGTGCACAATGGAAGGGAACCATTACGAAAGTTTACTTGCCTCGTCTCTTTGTGAATGAAGACGAGGAACGTTGTCATGCGCCGTAGTTGAATTGGTGAATGACAAGCCGCGGCAAATGCCATGACATCTTGCGGGTAGCATTATAGCAGGAGTAGTGGTGTGCGCACAGGCCTTGTTTTCCTGCAGTAAATTACAACATCAAGACGTTTGGAGAGTTGGTCTTAATATTTGGAATTTGAATCGCTGCCGAGCTTCTGCTTATATCTTTGAAGATGTCTGCAGCTACCGCATTAGCTCCAGAGCCCTCGTCGACCGGCTTTTCGTTTGACAATTGTCAGAGGTAAGTGGCTTAAGTGTGCTAAGTATTACGCACTGGGAAAAGAGGAAACGGTGAGCTTTGCTAACATGTGCAGTCTTTATAGTGCAGTAACAGTTTGCTTAATCATGTGCAGTCCACATATCGAAACAGTGATTCTCCCTGTTTTCATCTCTTTTCTTAGGTTCTGTGTTGATCCAGTTATGGGCACCGTACAACAAGCAGTTGTGAAGCCCTGGGCCAAATCAACAACAAAAACGTAGTTTCATGGCAGGAAAACAACGGTTATTATCCTTCCAAGGTGGTGTGAATGAATGAAGGTTGAAATTTGTTGTATTTTAATTTGTGCATGTTGGGGAAATTGGTCCCTGAGGGGTATTGGTGGTCCGTTACATAGATGTTGATTACAGGCACTATTCTGCACAGAGTGGGAAATTTAGTTTTTTTGCTGGTGGCGAGAGTACAAAAATTTTTGTGGTCGGAGTACAAACTTGCCTGCAAGCAAAGGTCTGTCTAATGTGGAATGAGTGTCTGCACAATGGGCCTTGCTTGGAGTACATCACATACTGCCTTTAATGGCTCAACATTTCCCCAATGTTTTTCTGGCAAAAATTAGTGTCAGCATGCAATTTTGCATTTCCGTGGAACAGAGCACCTCTTGTGAGTGAGGGTGCCACACTGATCCCATCCATATCTCTGTAGCGCTACTAGCTCACCTATACATGCAAAGATTGCTTAATGGTACATGTTAATAAGAAATATACAGTTGAGAGGTTAACAACAAAACTTTATACGTATGCATTCACAGGTGCATCATACAAAGCTCAGTTACTTATCATTACCTATCTACATGCAAACTTACACAATATCAAAATGATAAATCAGGTGCATCCTCTGCTTACTGACAAACTAAGTTGCGGACAACCACTGTGCATCACACCCTGGTTTTTTAATGAGTCTTAGGCAGATGAACTGTCTATGAAAGCCTTATGTATGTGACATCACTAACATGTTGTCCTTTTGGCCTTTACATAATTAATATAAACATACCAAAAGTGTTCCTCTTCCTATCCTTCTCTTTCTGCTCTTCTCCTCTTTCAGTTCCTCACCTTCTCTTTCTGTCACTTTTCTCCTTCCACTCCTCCTCCACTTCTGCTCCTCTTCTCTCCTGCACCTCCTGTTATCCCTTCCTCTTCTCCAAGTTCCCTATGATCTTATGTAGGGACAATTTTAATACTGCCACTGCAAGACCTTATGCCTGACAGCAAGGAACATAGCAGCATTGCCTCCTGTCAGGTTACAGCAATTATAAACCACAAGCTGAAAAGAGGCCAGCCTCATATTTGACCCCACATGGGAAACCCAAGCCTAGCATTTATGTTGTATATGGATACCTTAGTACCTACGTACCTACCCACCATGCTGTAGGTAGAGCAGGTTATACCAAGGTGATTCTGCACCAGCCTGCAGTGGTAAACATTTATAGATCAGTCCCCCAGTATTTATTTACCTTTTTTGGAATGACTTAATAGCGGTCCAAAACTAAATCCCAAGTAATTTTAGAAGTGTGGATACATGCTGTGTGAAAAAACAAGACAACCAATTCCACTTTGTCTCACTGAATACCTCAAATTCGCAGCTACGATGCACATAATCCCAAGCATCTTCACTCACCTTCGCCCTCCTCACTCCCACCACATCAAGACAAACAACCAAACCATGCACAGGAGTTCTGGCGCATTCACAGACATTGTGATGGCATTCTAGCACTCGTCAATGGGCAACCAAGCACAAGTACCACGGGTCGGTCCTGAAATGACAGGCTGTGATGAATAGTCTAAGAAAAAACATTTATGCAGTTGCAGCAACACAAATTGTTAAGTTTGCGGTAGAAAAATCATAGAGCCTTTCAGTCATGCATTTAAATTTGCTATTTTCCACCTACAAATATATTATCTTCTGGTGGCGCAAGACAACGCCGAGATAATGCAGGACCTGTACTACAAATCTATAGATATTTCTCATTCTAAGGCATATAATGCCATTTCAACACCCTCTGAGGAAGGCCCGTATCTGGACGATACCAAAACACGTCAATTTTTTAATTAAATTTGGCTAACTTTGCTAAAAACTTGCTCTCCGGCTTGTACTCGGCTTGTTCTCCCCGGGTCTCCCTGTAGGCCCCATTGTGAGAAGGGCAACCAAGTACTGCGATTTTTTCCCACCGGGTTATGGACCATCTCTATCTTACAAGTATAGGTACTGGTTGAGCCTGGAGACATGATACCCTTGTTAAATAAGTAAGATATCCTCGAATCTTCAAAGACCGGTACCTACCGATTTCTGAAAAAGTGGTTGACTTACTATCATTTATACAATAGTAATAAGTTTTGGAATGCTGCATGCCACAAACTCCCATTTTGGGAACGTAATTCCCGATGACATTTAAGAACCCAAAAGAAGCCGTTACCACCAAAAGTGCCGCCCACAAACGTGATATTTGGGTGCCATTTAATGTCATGATTCCATCTCAAAAGTGCCAATATGTGGTGTGTTTGAATGCTATGATTTTGAGTTTAATTGCAAGTTGGATGGTGATTGGTGGCTGGTGTGGCAGGAGCAGGAATGAAACAAGCACTTTGAAAAGGATGTGCAATGCTGCAATCTTTGGAATTTTCCCACCAAACTGTTTGCAAGATGCACGTCCTTTGGTAAAATCGCTAACATGTTATCTTAATATGAGGAGGTAAGTTAAGAGCATAGTTGGCATGCTGGACTTCTTGCTCGGCGAGTCTTTGAGTGACCTAGTTGAAAAGATGTGCCAGCGGTGATTTTGGTGCTGCTAGTGATTTCTGGTCGAACGAATATTGTTGTAGGTGTCTGTTGCGACGCGGACCTTCACTGCTCGAAAATGCACTCGTCAGTTGCAGGAGGCTGGGCTGCCGCTGGTTTCGGGTAGGGGAGGCGATGGGTTCGTCGCGTGGTGGGAGCCAGAGCCGTGATATGTTTGTCCGTTTCTTGAAAGGTATCGGTAGGTGTGTGCGTCGTGGAAAATGCGGTCTTACTCAGGTGCGCCATATAACTCGTCAGTTGCAAGAGGCTGGGCTGCCGCTGGTTTCGGGTACGGGAGGCGATGGGTTCGTCGCGTGGTGGGAGCCAGAGCCGTGATATGTTTGTCCGTTTCTTGAAAGTTATCGGTGGGTGTGTGCGTCGTGGAGAATGCGGTCTTCTTACTTAGGTGCGCCATATATTTTCCCCACAGGTAAT